CTTTCTAGTTCAGATAAAATGAAAAAAAAATAGCCACCTTTATTTTTTCTTTCTAGTAGTCAATGTATGTATTTTACTGACTTGAAGGCTACAAAATGCCATGACATTTCAAACCGGTCACTTATTCTTCCAGGCACTAGATCTTTCCTTGGTGACCTTGCCATTCCAGGACCCTCTTTATCACTTACCTTTGCTTCTCTTACCAATTCCTCATTTTATGTTCCTAAATGAGAACATTTTAAAATTAATAGATACTATAGATACTTCTTTTTTTTTGCAACATGAAGTATTTAAACATTTTTTCATCCAACATATTTTGATCATATTCTTTTTCCTCCCTGAACTCATCACAGATCCTCTCTGCTTCCCACACAACTTACTGTTCTTTCTCTCTAAAATTAAAAAAGACCCCATCCAAACAAAGCAAAACAAACAAAAAGTATACACTAAGGAAAATAAAAAGTAAAATATGGAATCCTTTTTCTTTTGTGTTGGCCAACTATCCTTGAGCCTATGAGGTTAGTCCTTGAATATGGTTGATATAGTCATTGAAGAATATATTCAGTTGAAGAAAACTGATTTTTCCCTCTCTCAGCATATATTAGTTGTAAATAGCTTCTTAGTTTATCTGGTTTGAAGTTGTAAAAGTCTTGTGCATGCTGTCACACTCTGAGTTTATATGTGCACCGGCCTTGGTGCAGCTGGAAATCATTGTCTCCTTGACATCACCCAGCATCTCCAGATCTTACACTTTTTCTGCTTCCTCTTCTGCGTAGGTTTCTGAGAATGGGGGGGGGGTATGATAAATACACCGCATTCAGGACTGAGCACTCCAACGTCCCCCACCCTCTGAACATTGTCTAGCTGTGAGCCTCTGTGCTTGTTGCCCCCTACTGCAAGGAGAAGATTGTCATGCAGCATACTCATCCTGAGCTCTCTTAGCTGCAATCATGGCTTCTACCAGAAACCCTTACACCTACTAGAACTCTAATAGTCATGCTCACAGTTGCTTGATTGACATTTCCTTCTTGATATTTGTTTTAATCTCTTCAAACTGGAAATACCTTTAACTAAATTTGTCATTTTTTTCTTTTCCAAAGAAGCCTTACTTATTCCTGGCACCATTCCTCAAGAATTCTAATTTTAAAAATCTTTGATTCCTTTGCCTTTCAGAAAACACGTCTATTCTTTCTTTGCAATAAAGCAATCCTAGACATCTTATACTGCTACTCTATCCCCCACTTATCTACCCCAGTACCTCCAGTCTCTTATCAAGCCTTAATTATTGTAATTAGGTTTTAATCATGTCACCTTTGAATTCCAAATAATCCAATTTAGTCTCTATTGTTAAATGAGGCACACTGTATGAACTCCTTAGTTGGACAGTCACAGCCCACCACAACCCAACAGACATTCATCTTTCTGAATGACTTTACAAAGACCCACCAGGACACATTTTCATGTTGCCATCATGGTACTTATATATAGTGTTCTGCATCTCTCCCCTTCCCTGGATACATTTACTTGTTCCTGAAGACCTATGCCACATTCTTCATATTGCTTAAAGAAATCTTGTCCAGTCATTTTGAATAGAAAGGAATACTTCCTCTTGTTAACTATCACATTTTCAATACTGATTATTTTGAAATTATAATACTCTTCCATTCAGAGATGTAAATGTATCTACGTTTAAAGTGTGCACATTTTATCTTCCAAGAAGGGGAAACAATTGCTTAGTTCATTTGTGTACATTTGTGTACTATATGCTGCATGTGGCATCTGCCTTATCAACTTTCTTTTGTTCTTTGCATCCTAACACCCATTTTCTGTTTGTCTTGTACAATATCACATATTTTAAGTAAATATTAACAGCCCACTAATCATCATTATATACCTCCCCCTTTCTGTATTTTTCATTTTAATGACATCTTCATGTAAAAATAGAAATTTTATCTTTGCATAAAGTTGTTAAAATAGGTTCTACTCCAAAATTAATATTCCACTTTTGCTATGGAGCAGCCGTAACCATCACTCTAAAGCCTTTAGCTGGATTCTCAGTTGTCACATACTTAAGAGGTTAAGGTTGTAAAACTCTCATATGGTTCACCCTCTGTAGCTACAAGGAAAATCCCATGTAATTTGTTTTAAATTATACATTACCAATTTAGGGATGTTCAATATATTACGCTGTTACTCTGAGCAATGAATATGAAGTTCTGTGCTTTGAAGACTTTTTGGACATAGTTATAATAGTTAAGCTATCTTTTTGTGGTTAAGTGGTAGAAACGCCTCTCAAACTAATTTAATAGAAGGGGTAATTCATTCCTTCACAAAATTGAGTGGGCATGGCTTCATGCTCAACTGAATCTCAAAGGATGTCACACTCCCATATCTCCCTTTTCATCTTCCAGCCCCAGCGCTCTGCATATTGACCTTGTTTTCTCCCACATTACAGTCTCCAAACAACCAAGGGAAACAATCACTGCTGTATCTCTCACGATGTCGGTAACTCCCCTATTTAGGTCAAACCAGCACTATAGACTGGCCAGAGGGTTGAACTTGAGTGTCACTGCCTGGGTCAGATGACCACTTTATTTATAAGAAAGAAGCAGAGAGGAGCTGACCAACAGCTTTAGAGCCCATAGCATTGACTGAAGATATCCACAAGGACAGAGTGTATAATTATCAGAAAAAATGGAAACAGAAGATAGACAAACAATTAAAAAAAAAATCAAACTGCTTCCATCTGCTACATTTCAGCCTCTGCCTGTTCCGGACACACATTTCATTTTACCTCTCTTCATATTTAAAAAAAAAAGAAGCTGCCCCAGGATAAATAAGACTATCATCCTCACTAAAAGAAAGGCATTTAATCACAGTCACTGTGAGCTCTGATCCTAGCTCCTAGTCTAGAGTCTCACACAGACAAGAACAAATCCTGTGTTTGGATATGACTCCCTATATTCCATGCTCCATCAAGGCAGCTACACAATTAATAACAACTCCCCAGAACCCACTGATCAACAGAAAAGAAAAATCAAGATAATAATGGTGAAAATGCCTATGCAGAAAAGCAGATAGTAGTTAGTGGTATTATAACGCTCTAATCTTGGATTCCCAAGAATCTACCAGGTACCTAGACATACAGGATAGGTGTCCCAAAGATCTCCATTTTCCAGAGAAAGAAGCATAGGAGAAAATATCTGCTTTGAGGAATGAGATACTTCAGGCATTCACTTGTGGACCTGTCATGGCTACTGGTCCTGTCAATCACCACAGTGCTTGAATGACAAGTTCATCTCTGCAAAGTTCACATTTATTCAGGCAGTATCTCTCAAACTCTGCTATATGCTATGAGCTTGACTCTTAGGAGCTCTGAGAACTAATAGCTAAGGCTAGCTGCTGTAGAACTTATCATTGAGTCTAGACCTTGCCTTTGTAGTTCCAGTCTTTAAGCCATAGCCTAAGGTAGCAGGTCTGTTGACCTAAGTGACATCCATCTTAGATTTTCTCTAACAGCTTGATTTGACCTTTGTTCTTGGCAAGCACAAACAAAAGCTGGTCTGTGGCTCTTTACATTGAGTGAATCATTACCTCTACTCATTTTGGAATTCTACAGCAAGGAGTGATGTGAGTATATCTAGGCTCAGTCTCCCATAACGATGTAGAGGTTCAGAACTGGGCTGTCATCTTTCCTAGCTGTGTGATACTATTATGCAAGTCACTGGCCTGTTCTGTCCTTTACTGTGCATGTATAGTGGCTAACTTACAGGACCATCATGAGAATGAAATGAATTAATTCATACGGAAGACTTAGAACAATGCCTGTCACAGGTTAAGCCATCTATGTGTTGCAGCCATCTATAAGTATGAACATTAAAAAAAAGATGTATAATAATTTTATGTGTTTGAGTATTTGCTCACATGTATATGTGTACCACATACTTGCTCAGAGCCCTTATAGGCCAGCAGAGGGAGTTAGATTCCCTAGAACTAGAATTGCAGATGATTGTAGGCCTCCTGATTGGGTACTGGGAACTGAAATCCAGATCTTCTGATAGAGTAGTAGCAAATCCTCTTAATCACTGAGCAATCTCTCCAGCCCCACTCTCCTCCTCCTCCTCCTCCTTCTCCTCCTCCCCCTCATCCTCCTCTTCTCCCAGGTTCTGGTCTTTTCTCACATAGTAGAACTCATCATGGTCTTTTCTGTAGCTTATGTTCACAAGGGTTTGAGTTCAGTCTTCCCACTTCCATGTGACTGTCTGATCACCAGTGTAGCGAGCATCTAAGGCTCACCAACAGCACCCCTAATATCACCTGTAAGAGAGAAAGGCTCCCTTGGAAGAAGGAGTAAGATGCTGCAGAGAAGGGACAGGGACTTAAGAAGGAAGATGTTAGGGGACATTCTAAGTCCTACCTCATGCAGTTCTCAGCACTGCTTCCTAGTATGGGTTTTGGGCTGAACCCTCCAACTGCAGCATCTGAGAAGGATGTAAGTGTGTGTGACATCTGTGTGACTGAATGAATTTTATGCAAAAATTCCATGATAAATGAAGGAGTCCAAGGATCCCAAGACAAGGGACAAGAGTAAAGAAAAGATGAGGGCACATTTGCCCTGACCTGGTTACCTGTGGTTAAAAACAAAAAAACAAAATCACGTAGCAGAGTTGTCCTTTAACTAAAAGCCACTATTTGGAACTCCATAGTAGTCAGTTACTGACCAATGAAGATAGGAATCTCCAGAGTTAGGTGGCTCCCAACAGTAGACATTCACAAAGAGAATTTGTCCTCCGCTGGCAGCCAATAATTGCTGGTGCTGTGGCTTGAGAACACAGGTCTGGTAACAAGGCCCTTCACAGGTCTCCAATGGCTTCTACTACTACTATAACGGTGTTGAGAATGGCTAATATTTATTAAATATGTATTATACATGTTCTAACAACTTCTTGTAGGCGCTATTATGCTTTGACCCTGCTTTTATTTTTATCTTTTACATACAGTGTATTTGGTGCCTAGAAGAAAAAGTTTGCAAAAAGTACTGTTTCCCATATTCTGACTGTAAATTCAATTCTATATTTTGGGCAAACTGTAGAGGTGAGTTGTCCTCATTTAAACTTTTGTGACTTCATTTCAATTAACTTGCAAATAGTGGAAATCTGCTCCATTCAAAGGATATGAAATGATTACATTTGTTTTAGTAAAATTCTCTAGTCCAGGGCTGTTCTTTAGTGTTGCCTTCTGGTTTAAGCTTATTGGTTGTTCCAGATGAAACTGATTCAAATTAAGTCAGATAGAACCCTTGCCATAATACTCGCCAGTTTAGTTTTCATCTGCAAAAATCTTGGTTGTATGATATTCATAACCTAGTTAAGGAATGTTTGTTTTCTGATGTTGTAGAAACTCTCTCTCTGTGTGTGTGTGTGTATGTATATATATTTGCATGTTAGTAATGAAATGCAGATTCAGTGAGACTAGTAGTGTTACTCTAAAATATTTCCTCAGCTAATATAGTCTATATTGAGAATCACCATTAAGAATGGTGACTCCTATACTGGGCAATGGTGGTGCACACCTTTAGTCCCAGCACTCGGGAGGCAGAGGTAGGTGGATCTCTGTCAGTTCAAGGCCAACCTGGTCTACTCAGTGAGTTCCAGGAAAGCCTCCAAAGCTTCAGAGAAACCCTGTTTCAAAAAACAAACAAAAAAGAATGGTGAGTCCTTAAAAAAGCAAATAGCATTTTCCAAAGAGAGTCTGTATATTTGTAATGTAAAATTTGGACCTGTTATACAGTAGTCACCAAAGCAGAAAAAAAAAGAACTAATATTTTTCAATGAAATTTCCAGAAAAGCTAAAACTGGTGATTTTCCAAGTGAGCATTACTCTTGTAAGAAAATCCCATTTATCAACCAGTTATCTGGTATTTTTTTTTCTTAATTGAAGTGAAATATATAATTCTGCCTAAGTCTCTGTTTGCTTTTCTTCCTTTCTTTTTCTTCCTTCCTTCCCTTCTTCTTCTTCTTCTTTTCTTTTCTTTTTCTTTTTCTTTTTTTTTGAGACAGGGTTTCTCTGTGGCTTTGGAGGCTGTCCTGGAACTAGCTCTATAGACCAGGCTGGTCTTGAACTCACAGAGATCTGTCTGCCTCTGCCTCCTTCCCGAGTGCTGGGATCAAAGCTGCATTTGTACCTTATAAAAATACTTTGCATTCAATATGAAGAGAAACTCTGATCTCCTATTTTGTGTTTTCCTCTTTAGTTCATTCAACCTTGCTCGAGGCTAATAAGCTATATAGTCTGAAGGAGAGGAAAGTGCATCAGAGTAGAAATCTGCTTCCCCAGCAAGTGTGGGCTATCTCTGACAAACAAAGAGCTGGTGCTTATACAACAAACCACTTCCTATTGTTTGCAGGCACCTTCACAGAGAGGGCAGTCTGAGGCCTCTCCTATCTTACCCATTGCGAAAGTACCAGAAATGAAATAGAAGGCAAAAGAAAAGAAAGCTGGTGCAGTAGTCTGCTAACATCTTCTAAATGCAGATGGTTTGACAACAGTGACTGCTATATTAGAGCACATGTGCATGCTACTGTAGGCTCATTTTCAACAATGATTTGAGAATGTATATCTAAGAATTCAGATTGCATGGTACTAGAAATGTTAAAAACATAGGACATTTTAAAAATCTGTTATTAAAATATGTCTCTTTTCATCAATTTCAGTTGACCTGTTTGGAATCATGATGCTGATACTGGTTGCATTATTAGCAGTAGGATTCTTGTGGTATTGCCTCGCCTATTACTTATACATGCAGGAGTATGTCATTTTATATTTCCTAAGAATTCACTTTGGGATGATAGCACTGAAAAATACACTGAGATAGTTAACAGGAAAGTTTAACTTTTTACTTAATGTAAATACTGTATCCACATGGTGAGGAAAAACTGAAAGGTGCATATGCAATTATAAGAAAGAATAACAAAGTTTCCTGTTTCACCTACATCTCTAGCATGTCTTTTGTGGGGCTACTGATTGCCTCTATGTAGCTGAACTAGATGGCTGAATACTTTATGCCACAGTAACCTCACATACTATTATACTGAGCTCCCCATCCAGAAAACCAAACATTTTATCTTGTGATATTCTGACAATCTTCTTGTTATTTTGATACGTTGTTTAGAGATTTTTAACCATTTTTCATTTTTTAAACTAACCTTAAGGTTACTAACATTTATATAATGCATACCTTTTGGGATTTACTTAGTCCATTCCTTCCAATGTTTTTATATCTGAGTCGTTCTTTCTTTTCTTTTCTTTCTTTCTTTCTTTTTCTTTTTTTTTTTTTTTTTCTTCTTTCCCCAAGGCTGGACTTCTCTGTGTCTTTGGAACCTGTCTTGGAATTCACTGTGTAGACCAGGCTGGCCTCTAATTCACAGAGATCTGCCTGCCTGTGGGTCTCAAATGCTGGGATTAATGGATCCAGCCACCAAAACCTGGCTGTATATCTGAGTCTTTTAGTAAGATAAGAAAATTTGATGGCCAGGAGTGGTGATGCTCCCCTTTAATCTTTTGTAGTTGTCTTTCAAGAGAGGGCTTCTCTGTTGCCCTGGCTGTCCTGGAACTAGGTCTGTAAAACAGGGTGGCCTCTACCTTCCAAGTGCTGGGTTTAAAGGTGTAAGCCATTGTGCCCAGCAGCTGTCAGCTAACCTTAGCTGAGGGACACAGGCAGAGGCATCTCTGAATTTAAATGCAGTCTGGTCTACATAGTTAGGACCTTGTCTCAAAAATACTTTTTGGTTCCCCATACTTCTTACCATGTGTCTTCTTTTCCTGTGAGAATCCAGTGTTGTAAGTTTTCACATTTATTTGGCTTTATGTAGTAGTCACTTTCCATTTTGTAACTATAATTCCACCTCAGAATGATCACATTTCATGTCTGAAATTTTTAATTATTCAAGAGAATAAAACATATGAGGGAGTAAACAGAGTACACAAACTCAAAATGGAAGTAGCAAATATAATTCTATACCATTAATCCACATTGCTTAAAGGATTCCAAGTCAATGGAATTCTCTTTTTTTTTGCACCCATTTCTGAAAATCATGCAATTTTCAGCCCGATGTGTGTGTGTGTGTGTGTGTGTGTGTGTGTGTGTGTGTGTGTATATATATATATATATATATATATATATATATATATATATATATATTGTTTGTTGTCTCTCCCTGAATTTCTAGGAGTTTTACTTTCTTTTGCTTTGGAGTTTTAAAATAGCTACATTACTTCTTGTCATTCAAACATGTAGCCAGGCACAGTGGCAAAATGCCTTTGAGCCAAGCACTTGGGAGGTGCAGGTGAATCTCTGAGTATTAGGGTAACCTGATCTACAGAGCAAGCTTTGGATAGACAGGACCATAGAGAGACAAATAAAGAAGGATCTTTACTCTAATAATTTAATAACTTATTTTTATATTTGATGTTTTTTCCTACAGTCATTCTTCTGAGGCTTGCCTGAACATGTTTTTAATTAAGTTGGCATACACAATAATTTTTTCATTATAACATTTTCATAAGTGTATGTTATCATACTTTGTTCTTACTCTTCCTGCCCCACACCATCTTCCTCTATTTCCCTTACCCTGCTATTTCTCCTCCTTCCCCTACCCATCCAGTAGGCCGCCACTGTGTTTTCAACAGCATCCTATTATAATTCACAACATTTAGTTTCTTTTTACAACTAAAATAGAATATTTTGATTCCCTGTCTTTTCCTTTTGTTCTCTTTCCTGAAGTGTCTTTTTCCAAAGGGGCTTTTCAGAGTTTGAAAGTGTCCATATAGTTCATAGTTCCCTACCAATTTGTCTTTTCTCCACTCTTTTATGGCTTTTTTTTGTCAGGTTATATGCTTCTTACAAGGAGAACCCTTAGTTAAGACAAGAAGAACCAAACATAAATAGATGCATGCAAATAGGCTTATCTTCATGTGTTTTATAAAAATATAAGTGTTGACCAAAATAGTTTGTTTGTTTACCACCTCTATTTTGTCTTGAGAAATTATATTTTTCTGAAATCGAGATTTATGTCCTGTCCTTATTGACACATCAGCACAAGACAGAGCAGGATGTTCATATTCCTTTCCTCTCAACCAACAAAAAGATAATTGTGTGGGGAACTAATGGACCATAGCACATTAGTGGCAAAAGGCTCTTTGTATTTTTAAAAAAGATTATGGTGTATTATGTCACTACATTTTTTGTGTAGTGCTTATGAACAAAATAGTGAAAGACATGCACTGGAGTGGAGGCCATGGCAAGTGCCCATTGCTGAAGCTTCTTTTATACATTTTTTAATGACTTGTAAATATGATCTAACAACTGTATTTGGTTCTGGTTTAACTTAGCTGTCCATCTCCATTTTAAATTTCTTTTAAAAGAAATTTCCTTAAATTTCTTTTAAAAGTCTATGCCTTTGTTAACTGAGTGGGCACAGTATTCATGAAAGGAATTTATTCTGTCAAGGAGATGTTCTTGATAATCCAGTCATCCTGGTTGGGTTCTAGTGGAGATGTGGCTTAGCAGCAAAGCGCTGGCCTAGCAGGCATAGAGCACTGAAAAGTTCTTATAGAAACAACAGTCTGTATCTCAAGAATCTTTATTTCATTTGATATAATTTGTTAGCATATAAAAATTAAAACACTCTAAAAGTTTTAGATGTTAATAAAGCATAGGTATCTGGCATACTTGATGCTTTCTCAAATGCATCTGCTCTTTATCAAAGCAATTATTATTTGATATGCACTAAGTGTCCCTGTCACTAGAGATACAATCATGGAAACCAATACTTGGCTTTCATTTGGAACAGAGATGAGTAAAGAAGCAATCGTTGGTTTTACTGTTGATTGATTTTTACATAGTATTTTATTTAATTCGGTTGTAATTTTCTTAAAATATACTAGTTCTGATGATTAAAGAATTCACTCTAATAAAGCAAAGATGATAAAATGTTTTATAACTATACTCTGTGTAATTAATCAAGACAATTTCAACTATAACCAATCTTAAACTTTAAATTCACCATCATTTTAACAGACGGCAGGCCTTTTATTATGCAAGAAATGGACAAGTTCCTGGTTATGACTGGAATGCTCCAGGCAAGTGCTTTCATTTATTTGTTAGGCTGTACCCCATATATTTTCAGTGACTGACAGCCAGAAGTCATGCTCTTAGTGTAGACCACAGAGTTACAGTCCATGTGGGAAACATGACAACAGATTTCATTATCCTCATTTTTGAATACACTTTTATAACGTCAATAGTTAGACTAGGATTTGCAAAATATAATAGAAATAATGATCAGAATATTTGCAGAGGCGTGTTAAACATTTTTAAACCATTTGAAGATTTAATTTTTCCATTCTTTACCACTTAACTGAAATAATCCAAGGAGACTTTTGTCTTCAGGAATCCTTGTGGACTTTTCCCTTCATCTCACCCAGGATTCTAGGCTACCCAATGTGTAACTCTTATGGGTTCTTCAAACTTTCCCTTAGTTACTCCCTTACTTGGGACTCAAAGTGTGGCTTCATCTGCTAGTCACCTTCATTTATACAAGGCAGAGAGTAAATAGGCTTCCAGTTTGTGGAGAAGGCAAATATGGCGTTTATACATGTTATTTAACCACAGTACCTCTCACGAAGCAAGTAGGAGAAAGTACTCCTTCTGGTCCCCGCTGATGTCTTAGAAAATGAATCTGGATGATGTCCCAGCTTAGGGAGTCCCTAAATGTCCATTGATTTTCTGTCACTGAGGACAACTAGCCTTGTAGTTTCCTCAAACATTTGGCTTCTTCCTTTTTGTCAAATTCCCACACAGGCTAATGCTACCTTAAAATATTAAAAATATTGAAATAGCAGTAGCATTAAGATCACAGTAGTGTATTTATGGCATTTGCAGACATGTTATGATCAATGTTTACAGATTAAAACTTTAATGTTCTTATTGGATTTTGTTAAAAGTATTTGAAAAAGTGAATTTATTTTCCTTTTCCATAGCATATTATGGATAAGTGGCTGAAAAGACAGATCTTTCAGAGATAGAAGGAGAACTTTCTTCAATGGTAAGCTTCTCAGAAATACTGCAGTTCCTATGCCCTTGCCAATGTGTATGAAACAGCTTTTTCAGGAATACATAATTAGAATCACTGAGAAAGAAACACTAAATCTGTAATTCTATACACAAATTTCAACCCCTGAACACATTAAGGAAGACAACAGAATATAGAGATCTATGAGTCTTGGAGCCAGCCTTCTCTTTTAACACGGATGTAGTCTAGCTAAAGGGCTGCTGGTAAGGCTATGTTTTTGCAAAACCAGCTCTCACTTTGTGGGGTTTTTTTTTCTTCCTTTTCTCCTGCTTGTATTTAATTAATTCTACCCTGGTCTCTATTATCTCCAACTAAGTCTATATTTATTTTATTCTTCTATGTCAAGTTCTTTACATCATGTTTTTTCATGATTCTCCTTTATTTTGTGGTTACTCATCTTCTCCCTTAGAACTACCTTTGATGACCCTATTCATTTCTTTATTTTTTGGACTCAATAAGTTTTTATGGCTTCTTGTTCAGGAGCATGTTGCTTAATTTCCACATACTTGTGAATTTGCTAGGTTTTTTCTTTTCTGATTTTTAGTTTCAGAATATTGTGATCAGAAGAGGTAGTTGATATGATTTCAGGTTTTTTTTTTTGTTTGTTTGTTTTTTTTTTTTTTTTTTTTTTTTTGCCGAGACAGAGTTTCTCTGTATTGTTTTGGAGCCTGTCCTGGAACTCGCTGTGTAGGCCAGGCTGGCCTTGAACTCACAGAGATCTGCTTGCCTCTGCCTTCCGAAT